ATGGTTCCGTTAGTGGTCGTGGTTCCGGGGCTTGGTCGGCGGGCTGCGCGGGGCCCCGGGCGTCCGACCCGCCGCTCTCCGCTGGCGGAGCTGACCATCCCGGCAGTGGTCCTGGCTCGACCGGTACGGAGCGCCACGAAGTTTATATTCCCGTGGGTGTTCTCAGCCGCCGTCCAAGTCCCGGGTAGTCAGTAGAATCCTGAAAGATGAAGAGCTTTGGCCTCCGACCTGGCAGATGACAGATCGGGTGGTGGACTTTTGCTATTAGAATGCCGTACCCCCACCACCTGAACGACTTTCTTGACGCTTTTAAAAATATGACAACAAACCCCGGTGTTTTCTTTTCCAGTGAAAGAACAGCACAAGAAGAAACTTTTAAAGGCATTGTTGATTTGACTACGGCCCCGATCCCCGAAATCACAGGAAAGGTAATTTCGCTCGATTGCGTTGTTACAGCTTTAAAAGAGATGAGGGAAGAAAAGTTGGTTTAGAACATCCATTTTCATAGCTGATTGAAAAGAAAGCCTTAAGAGGATATAACTTAATGAGTTGCTGTCTCTAAGTCATGTGCCCCGGAACAGTTCAAATCTGGTTTGTTTTAAAAATATTAGGGGAAAGAAACCTTATGTGCCAAGAAACCTTACTGACTAGAGTGACATTGGTTTAGTTTGCAGGACTAGCTATGATCACCTATGAAAAAAGAACGAAGCAAAACTTAGGCATAAAGTTAAAAAGCAAGAAGTAGAATGGTGTGAACTGTGTGTTGTTTTCTGTGTTAAGGGAACATGTAGTAACTATAAGATTTGTATTGTTCTTTTGTATAAGGAAGTTCTAAAATAATACTAGAAAACCAATAATTTTGGAAAAGGGAGAAGTGGTCTAAAGAGGAAAGGGTGGAAGATGAAATGTTTTATGTGTTGTCTATAGTATTTTTTGTTTTATGGATTCATAAACAACAAAAATTACTTAAAATACTTTATATGCTGTTGGCTTCCTATTTTGTAGGGAATTTTGATCATTTTCAATAGTTTTCTTAATATTTGAAAGAATAAGCTGAAGAAAAGATTAGGATGAATTTGCTGCCTCTTTCCACTTTAAGAAGGTGAAGTCACACGATTTCAAAACCACAAAGGTTGTTCTTTGTCCTTGCTGACACTTAGTGGTAACTGCATCTGGCGTCACAGTTGGGTCATGCTGCTTTGATAGGGTAGTGTCTCCCTTTTATTTTTTCAGGAACTGTAGTCTATATATTTTTTTTCCTGTTGTCGATCCCTACCTCGGAAGTTCGAACACTGTACTTTCAATGCTAATAGACTAGATTGTTCAGCTTAATGTGCTTTTCTGATGGGCAGCTATTATTTCCTTTAAGGAAGTCAGACGTGAACCCCAGTGAAGTGTTTGTGGGGGAGATGATTTTGTATGGAAAATAAAATTCAGAAGCAAATATAAGAAAGTAAGCATTTTTATGATTACAGGTTGTGTAAATATACATTGTACCCTTTTCAACAAGGCTAAGGTGGAAAGGGTCTTGTGAGAGTGGGTACAGTTTTAGGAGGGGAATGCTCAGAAACTCCCTCTAGTGACAGTAGTACTGGTGAAAGCTGGTTGCTGTAGAGATTTTCCTTAATATTAGTAGTACTTTTATTTTGTAAGCTAGGATATCTGTGGCTTCTGTTAGTTGCTGATCGTCACTCTAGTGCACGTGGCATTTGTCTTTCATTTGCACCTCACAGATGCCCCCTTTCCAGTCTTGTACACCAGTCAGTCACATAAGGGAAGCCGTCTGCTGTGGTGGTTGTTGTTGAGACAGGCTCTCAGGCTGTCCTGGAACTTACCCTGTACTCTCAACTGGCCTTGAACTCATGATAATCCTCCTGCTTCAGCTTCCTGAGTAGTAGGATTACAGGTGTGTGCTGCCACACTGGAGATACATTTCTACTTTTATCTCCTAACTTTCTCCAGAGTTAACAATTGGATGTGTAGCTTTCTCCATGTTCATTTTAGCCTTAAAAGCTGAATTATTGAGTTTTATGGTAGCTTTTTGTGGGGATGTCGGGGAGTCTTAGTATGAAGTCCAGACTTGTCTGGAGGTACAGAATCTCCTGCCTTACTCAGCCTTAACGTTGGGGTTATGCTTGGCCAGTTATTGAGTTCTTCTTGAATGATTGTTCTGCCAGTTTGTCTCAACTGTACCCCCCCCAGGATAGAAATGATTAGAATGTGTCATAGAGTTTCAACATCTGATATAAACCTTAGGATATAACCCCCTATACTCCCCACTTCCCAATGTTTGGAGGGAGTTCAGACTGGTGTGAATTTGGCATAGAGACTTAAATTTTAACATTTGCTATAGCACTCTTAGGAGCCCAATTGTAGGATCTCAAGTTTGGGTCATAGAGGGTGAATAGGTATCTCAGGCTCTGTCTAGTTAAGAAAGGAGAGAAAAGCAGACCAGAAAGCTCAGACTCTCCTTCACACAGAAGGAGTCAGCTGCAACCATACAGCAAGTGTCTCTGCGGTGGTGGTGTTTATCTGTGTAATTGACTTAGTTTAGCTTTCCCTCTGGAGAGAGCCTTTTGCTGTTTTATTTGATCATTATAAACTAATTATATATTGATTTCAAGGTTGTTAGAAATATGAAAGTAAGAAGTATAATTGTCAGTGAACTGCTGTCCATTATCAAACACGTTGGGCAGGTTTTGCTAATAATAAAAGAAAGTTTTTTCCTTTCTTACTCTGTCCCCAGAGCACAGCATTAAATGCTTTCTCTCCTTATTTTTACCTATGCTGCTGTGTCAGGTAAACTATTTATTTGTTCTGATTTTTTTTAATAAGACATTGTGGGGAACACATTATTTTTAAGTTTTACATTTTATAGCACAACCATCTTTGTGACTATTCCTTTAGAATATCTGCAGATGTTGCAGCATCTTTTTTGTTGTAGATCCTTTGTAGACAGTACATCAACTATATTTTCTCCCTTTCTGACCATTAAATTGTTGGTAGAGTTGAACGAATTATTAACCTAACACCGTTAAGTATAAGAACAGTTTAATCCTTACTAATTGGCTTAATTACATAATGGCATTTATAGATTTCTTTACAACCATTTTTAATATCCCTGATATATGTAATTTCCATAAATTAAGTGGATAAAGAAGTTTGGTTTTCTCCATGCTTTACTCTGCAAATATTAAATTACCTAAACAACTTATCCTCACAGTTTTAATTCTGAGTTATCATGTTAGTTATATAATTCACGAAGAAATACTTTGTCTTATTATTTTAAGTCTGTCCTGTCACTCTACAAAAAGAAATAATTTATATAGTATATATTTTTATTGTTTTGATTTTTAAAAAGGACTATTTATTTTAAAATTTTATTTTGTGTGTTTGGATGTTTTGTCTACATGTATGTCTGTGCACCATGTCAGTGTGGACTCTCTTGGGAGCTAGAAGAGTGTCAGGTCCCCTGGGAACTGGCGTTATAGAGATGCTTGTGAACTGCCATGTGGGTGCTGGGAATTGAACCCCACTCCTCTGGAAGAGCAACCAGTGCCCTTAACCAGTGACCCATCTTTCCATACCTTAAAGGATTTTTTTTTTAATTTTTTAAAAAATGCTCTGTATTTTAAGTATTTTTTTTTTTTTGGTAAAATCTCTTATTTATATGGTGAGTGCTAGAATCAAAAGTGGACCCCTGTGTCCAACAAATACTCTATTTCTTAAAAGAGCTCATGTTTAATTGAATCTTTATTTTTAATTTTCATTATAAGTAGTAGAAAATAAGACCTCAAATTGACTCCCTTTTTGTTTTTGTTGGTGTTCGGATTTATTTGAGACAGAGTCTTACTGTGTGGTCCAGGCTTGTCTAGGCCTCTCAATCAGTCCTACTGCTCCGACTTCTCTAGTACTAGGATATGCCATACTTGGTTTCAAAGGTTTTTGTATTTAGGAAACGAGGCACAAATAAAGTTGTAATTGTAGCCTAAGCCACTTGCCTAGCTAAGAGTTTATTATTTGTATTGAAATATAACTTACTGTTCAGTAGTTGACTTACTTTCTTAATTTTCAGCCTTTGGTTATAAATGCAGCACATCCCTGTATGGAAATTTGGAAAACATAGAAACCACAACAAAAAGCATAGTTTTAAGAATTTAAAATACTACTGAAAATCCTATCACCCAGAGGAGCCATTGTTATTTTTTCTGTTACCTTTTCCTCCACTGTGCTTAAGCCTGGCGTGAGTTTATTGTGCACACTCACAGACCCGTGGCTGCACAGAGGGCACCGCCTACTCCAGTGTAAACGGCTGCGTCTTTACAGCAGCTTGTCAGCGTGCTTTCATGCTGCTGTTTCCTGCAGTGCTACTGGCTTAGTATGTTGATTCTCACCCATGTTTTCCATATAATTTACTTAACTACTTTTACTATTGGATATGCAGGTTTTTAATTTTTAAGTTAATAAGGGGAAATACAGCTTGGAAATTTTCAAGTCTTCAGAATTAGAATACAAGTAAAATGATACTGAACTTGTGTTGATAACGAATTCAACATTTTGTTGGAAAAATATGTCAGTCTCTCCAGTCGATTAATAATCATGATCAATAGTGAAGTGAATCAAAGATTTTTGTAGTCTTTTCTTTCTAAATTTGTTTTGCTTTGAATGTATTTCACATTGCATTTCATGAGCGATAATCAGTTGGGGATTTGGTTTTCTTTTTATTACTGAGGATGAATCTCATTGTCAGCCTCTAGTTTAACTGATATTCTGTGCGTTTTCTGCTTTTAAAGGCCTTGTTTCTTCTCTGCTGCTCATTGTTTTCTTTGGGTGTACTTTGTTTTCTCTAATCTCTCAAGCTAGAAGCTGAGGTCATTTGATTCTTCATTATAACCATACTAGAAGTTCTGACTGCTTAAATTGGTTACTTCCAGATTTTTCTATTTTGGGGATCTTGGGATTCTGATCCTTTTCATCACTCTTCTGAGTATCTGGGGCTGTAGGCAAACACAGCTGTGTGTGGCTTCTGGTATCTCTTTGATCTGGGATTATTGAGAAGTTTGTTTACAAGTATTAGGATTTTCCAGAGATATTTCTGTTAGTATAATTCCAGTGAGATGTGATTGTTTTAAATTCATTGAAATTTGTTTTATAGCTCCAAATGTGAGCTTGGGAAATGTCTTACATGTGTTTGAAAAGAAGGTTGTTGGGTACAGTGTTCTATAAATACCAGTTATGTCAAGTTGGTTTATTGTTTTATTTATACCTTACTACTTTTGAATGAATGTCAGACCTGCTCTTTTCCGCCAGAGCTCACGTGCACGTTAGCTTTTTCATTGCTGTGATAAAATATCTCAATGAAACAACTTAAGGAAGGGCGTTTTCTTCAGTTCCACAGGCTGACTGGCCCCATGGTTGAGGTTCTGAG